AATAAATAAATAAAAACTGTCCAAAAAAATGCACAGTTTAGAAAATTTGGAAACGAGATGATAAGAGGGCTAGACTGAAATCACAAAGGCATATAGGAGACAATAAACTGCAGTAGCCTAAGTAATACATAAATTGGCTATAGAGACCAGTGGTCCAGGGAAGGCTGCGATTCTTAGCATGACATTACAAAAGCTTAGGTTGCTTACTTTAAATCTTTTAGTTTCCTTTGTCTTATTTTTTTATTTTTAATTGTAAAATGGGAATAAAAATACTGCCCACCTCATAGGATTGTAGAAAACATAAAGATAAAATAATACATGTAACATACCTACTGGAACTGGCACATGATACATTTTATACAAATGTTCTTATGACAATAAAACAAGAAGTGGTGAAAGAGAGGAAGAGATGACAGGCAAAAAATTAGTAGGTAGATATCATCAAGAATAAGATCAATCAGACTTAGAGGAAAAAAGGGAGGTAGTAAGAATAACATTTTTTGTTGCTGTTTTTATGGTTTGTGCATGGGAAAATGTTTACTTATTGCTTTTGAAGGACTAGGTTTATAGTGGGGGTATCGGCAGAGAAATTCGGGAGGAAAGATGGTAGGTTCAGCTTTAGAATTATTAAGTCTGAGGTGATTGAGAGACATCTGAGTAAAAGTTACTATATACCTGGAAGTCAGGAGAGAGGCTGAAGTGGGGACAAAGTTTGCAAGTACTAGATGTGAAGTTAAACCCATGGATTTGGATTCTATCACCCTGGGAAAGTATGTGGAATCAGAATTAGAAAGAAAAGGAGGAAGTCCTGAGAAATGCCTACATTCAAGGGGTGTGCATATGGAAAAAATCATGCCCATAGAGGAGACAAAGACATAAGAAAAATAGAAAGACAGCTAAAATAGAAACCAGGGTGATGGTTTATAAAAAGAGGGGCCTTTTAATTGTATCAAGAGTGGCAGATAGATCATGTAATGGAAAGATAGAAAAGTATGTTTTCTTTATTGCCCCAGCTAGTGAGAGCTGTGTTGGTCCCAAACCGTCAGCTTCCTGTGTTCTTATTTTCATGTTACATTTAAACGTGCTACCTGAAAGATTCTAGGTTTCTTGAGAATCTCTAATTCATTGTAGACTCCATCATACAAATTAGCCATTGTAAGTGAAAATCATGCATACTGAAGTAATCTTTTTATTAAGTTGCTTCTTTTGATGTTTTCATTGTCTACAACTACACTAGGCTCATTCTTTATCTCCTAAATCTTTAGACCACTTTCTACCCATATGCATGTGTAAAAACAACATACTTCCAGTTAGAGAATAAATTTGGTATTCACCAATGCTCAATGTTTGCAATCCACGAACCCTCCACAACAGTTATGGATGGAATATGAGAACTGTTTTCCTAGTGGCCTGGTTAAGTCAGCTCTCAGAATAGAGATGATTTCTACGTCTTGCTCACTCCTTTATTTCAATTGCGTAATTCTCTTTCTTTTTCACACTGAGTCCTAGACATACTCATAAGTTTATGCTAAAATGTTAAGCAATACAAATTGATAATGTCACTTGCAGATAAAGTCCTTACCGGGAACACTAGTCCCTTCATCATCTAGTTCATGACTACTTTTCCAGGGCTGTATTTCAGCAAGTGCAGATACTTGGCTTCCCAGGTTGATGGGAATCAGCTCCCCTGGTAGATACTTTCTCATGCCTTTATACTTTTGCATGTATTGCTCCTTCTGCCTGAAATGCTCTTGTCCCATGAATATTGAACAACATGCACTAAAAACTTCACATACCCGTTTCATTTTCAAACATAATCTCATTTAATTCTGAGGACAGTCTTGAGGTTTAGGTATCACTATCCACATTTTGTATTCTGTAAATGAATCTTTTGAGAGTTTCCCAAGATCACACAGTTAGGAGGCGGTAACACAGGGATGTGAACACAGGCAGGGTGACCTCAAAGTCCATTAACTTAACCTGCACACTCTGTTCCCTTTTCTCCCTCTGGTCTTAATAAGTTATACTTGATCTTCAAGGCTCAGCTATCTACTTTCAGAAGCTTGGGATCTTGTGTACTGAGTCTGTTGTAGTTCTTATCACACTACAGTGTAATTGCTGATTTACCAATTTGCCTAAAATGATACATTGTTCACCTCTTGAGAATAGGAGCTGTGTCATTACTCTACATCCCTGTGAAGTGACTGGTCATGCATACGTTGCAAATAAAGAAGCGAAATTTGAAAAGTTTAAGGGAATTTCACAAGATTATCTAGCTGGAGTGAGACTGAAGCTGGGCCTTGATCCCGAGGCCTTTGACTTCCAACCTCATGTGCCTTCCACTCCTCTGCATCACATTTTGATAAAAGAACACAACAAAGTTACTCTAAAATAGGAAGGTTTCTGTTTAAAAAAAATATTCATGTAATCAATACTTATTAATGTAATCTACCTAATGCAATTAAAATGTTGAAGAGGAATAGTGCAAAGACCAAGTTGAAGAAAAGTAAACGTTATGATTACATTTTGCAAAGGCAAATACTGCAACATTATTCAAATTAGAACCATATTATTAATATGTTAATACATCAGCCTGAAATAAGAAGAGAAGAACTACAGTTGGACATATCAGTACAAGTAAATGAATATTTTATTTCTTGGTTTGCTAATTTTAAAATGATTTTTAAAATTTGAACCCTTAAAAAGCATCTGCAAATACATAAGCTCAATAAATCATCCAGTTGATGATAGATTAGCATTTCTTGCATGCAAGTCTTTGATCCAAGCAGGTCAACATTAATATGTAACAGTTACACTTAAAACTATATATGTGTGTGTGTGTGTGTGTGTGTGTGTGTGTGTGTGTGTATATAATCTCAGAAATTTTATGAACAGTGCTTGCCAAATATGAACTATGTATTTATGCTTNATATATATAATCTCAGAAATTTTATGAACAGTGCTTGCCAAATATGAACTATGTATTTATGCTTCATTAACCTAGTAAAATTAAGAATCTTCTAGAAACCTTTCCTCCATGCATAATGGTATACAAAGCCTGCTTTGTGTCATCACTGTACATGAGTAATTAGAACAGCTGGAACTTACTATGATTCAAAAGTTACACAGTGCAGATTTCCAGTATAACTCATACAAAGCAATCTTCTTATATGGACTAAATCCAAGTTGTTGCTGTTGTTTTTATCGTTTCATGATACAAAAGCTTTTCTTTTGCTTGTTCATAATGCTATAACTTTTGTTCAGCTATCTTTATCTCTTTTATTTCTACAGCTCTTAGAATAGAGAAGAGGTACGTGTCTTATTTAAATTGGCTTGATCAGGTACAAGGAACAGTGTGAAACAGAGACAGACTAACTTAATCACTTTTGAAGATGATTTCTACCTAATATGACTAATTATCATGAGCTTTCAGACTAATATCAAGAGCTTTAAAAAAAAATAGAAATCTGGGGCCGGCCCGGTGGCGCACTGGATAGTGCGCCACTTGGGAAGCGCGGCGGCGCTCCCGCCCGAGGGTTCGGATCCCACATACAGACCGGTTCCCACTCACTGGCTGAGCGAGGCGCGGGAGCAACACCGAGGGTTGCAATCCCGTTGCCGGTCCCCGGTCCGGTACAGGGGCAACACTGAGGGTTGTGATCCGTTGCCGGACACGGAAAAAGACAAAAGAAAAAAAAAAAAAAAAAAAAAGAAATCAGATTAATTTCAGATAAATATATTCTAAACAGAAATATATCATATTTTTTTCTGAATCAGAACACTATCGACAATTGATAACATGAACATCCCATGGTCTCTGCAAATGTGACTTATTGTCACAATTCACATACCTAAACTAGCTTCAAATTCCATAACCAATTTTAGAATTGATATATTGGCACTAGCAACATTAACCCAATTTCAAATGTGCAAATCAAATTTTGAAGTCTTTGAACTGAAAATTCTTCAATATTTTCTCAGATTCTAACTGAAAATATTTCTCATATCAGTAAATATTCGCTGAGATGTCTGGATAAGATATCTAAAGATTTTTTCCTAGGGAAACTTCTAATTTATTTGAGAACGTTGGCTATAACTTTCAGGACCTGCTTATGTAACAGAAATAATTCATTTTCTTTACCATTCTTGCAAATGCCAAAGATCCTTCCTAAAGGAATTAACAAAGTGCACAAAACAGTCACCCCATTTTATTTCTGTGAATACCTGGCAGACAAAACCAAATAAGAATTTGATGGTTGGGAATGTTTACAAGCCTCTGAAAAGTTCCAGACTTAAGGGATTCAGACACTGAGAATAAAATTCAAAATTCAAAATTCAAAATTCTTCTTCCTACTCCCCTGCTAATTTTAACCTCCAAGACGATATTTAAATGGATCCAAAAAAAAAAAAAAAAAAAAAAAAAAAAAACTTGGAAAAAAAAAAAAAAAAAGCATCCACATCAAAGCCAGCAAATGCAACAAAGATTTTTCACTTAAGAGGCTTGTGTTGCATTAGGTAGGAAGAGCCAGGGCCGGTATTCTATTGCACAGCAGGGTGGCTAGGGACAGAAGAAGGAAGGAGAGGATGCTTCTGGTCAAAGTAAAGAGATATCTATGATGTTCTCATAGAGGTGGACTAAAATAAGGCTATGAGCTGACAGTATTCAGTTTCAAGAGATCTGAAATTCTCTCAGAGTCATTTCTATGCCAGTGAAGTGAACAGTATCCCCTGAGGAACACTTCACAATTCAAGAAAATTATAGGACATGTTAAATGTTCATCCCTGAAGTCCTTTTGAGTCTCCATTTTTTGATATTAAAATGTTGTGCTTCATAGAAAATTAAAAGGTAATTGTAAAATGGACACATTTCACTGTTATTAAACCAAAAGAGATTTCACATTAAAAATAAATAAAGTTAGTAGATAGATGAGAGAGAGAATTTTTTAAAGGATTCACCTCATATTTCATATTAGTTAAATCCTTTCGGGAAAAGGAATTACCTGAAATGATACCACAGTAATGACTGTGAAGAGCTGACTTCTCTGTGACTTTTTCCTCCACGGACCTTTTCTGCCTATATACACGGTGTGGGTGACCCGTTATTGCCACTGTATCATTGAGTGGCTCAATAAATATGAAGTCCTCATTGAGCTGTATAAATCCCATCTGTAATACATAACACAAAAATATATGTAAGAAATACCATTAAAAAAATTATTTTCTAGGTTCTACTCATACATTTTGGTTTCTTCAACAAATGTGCACACAGTCTTCTCGTGAAGCTATTTTAGCAACCCTACTAGTAAGGTAACTATCTTCCCATTTTATTACTTCATCTTTATGTATTTTATTGCACTAGCATAAACTTCATTTAGTTAGTTGTAGTCTGTGTGGGCGGGAGGCTAGATTCCAGCAACAGATGCACAGTAAAAATTCTGGAATGTTAAAGGCTCACGTTGGGAGACCCACGGGGTCACTTACATGTACAGCATGTACAGAAAGAGCAATACAGCTTTTAATTGCATATACCACACAGTCCAACTTTTTGACAATCATTATTTAATAAAGTAATTCATGTAATATATCAAGGCAAATGCAGGAGACGTAGCATTGAAATTAATATATCAAGTATTCTTAAAGTCCTCTATTAAACATTTTTTAAACCTTTGAAGAATAAATTAGAGAAAGAATGAAGCATCACTTACATAAACAAGTTTCATTTCATACAGTGCCATGTTTTTAAAGTCATCCAATTGTGGACAGAGGATTAAAAACTGTAAAATATGGTTATGATCAATAAGAAGAACTTATAACAAGTAGGTATCCTTGTAATATATTGAAGCTAAGACTATTCATTTCTTTTTTCCTTTCTCAGAATATAAATTTGCTTTACAACTAGGAAAGTGTTCAACATAAAAGAACATGATGTGACTTGATCTTTCAAATTTACTACTTAAATCTACATAATTAATATATACAAAGAGCAAATATTTGACTATATCTCTTTAGCAAATATTATTGAAGAAATAATCTCCTAAAACCTTCATCATTCATACCCAGTCTGCTAATATTAAAGTTTTTAATTCTGCTTTTCATTAACCCTATGAAATTTATATAAAATTCATTTAAATTTGGTCCACATATAAGTAGCACAATAATTATAATTATTTCTTCAGATATAGCAATTTTCCAAAACTGAAAACTAAGAAAAAATAAATCTACCCTGAGAAAATGCACATTTTCCTTTGAAGTGTAGAAGGGATTTTTTAGAATTCTGTTTTAATTATACAGTGTCCTAAATCTTCTATACAGAAAGATCAGGTGATTGACAGTATACTACCTTGTTTTATTCTGTACCAAATTGACATTACAAGACACCTTCAGAGTAAATCTAAAAATCCTAATCAATTTCATTTTATTGAAACTTTTATGTTATTTATAAAATTCTAAAGAACTACAGTAAGTAATTCTGCCACCTCTGTCTCCTCTCCTTTCTCTCCCTTTTTCTCTCTCCCTGCCCCCCCTCTCTGTCTCTCTCTATCTCTCCCTCTCTGTCTCTCTCTCTCTCTGCCTCTCTCTCACACGCACACAAACACACACACACATGCACACAAACACATTGGCAGTAGATGATAATGTAAAAATAGTTTTACTCTAATGATCCTTTAAAAATATGAGGTATATATATATATATATATATGATAGTGCCAAGTAATTATGTTATAATTTTAATATGACTTCCAATGATTTCTTTTATTTTCCATACATGTTTTACTTCCCTCACCTCTGAAACTAGCTTGAGTTTTAAAGTATTTATATGTTTTCCAGAAATTCTTCCATTGGCCTTAATTTGATGAGAAACAAGGGAATATTAAACAAAAAAATATTAAATAATAGGCAGTGAAGACATAGTACATCAACATTTAAATTGACAATAGGTGGTATAGCATTATATATCATTGATCCAGACTGTGAAAATATAGAAATATGCAATTCTCAATTTATATATCAGTGTAATTTTGAGATTCACACAGTATTCAAGATCACTAATAAAACTAACAGTGCCGCTGTTGATTAAAACAATCATTATTATGTTCAGTTAGAACAGCTCGAGTAAACATGCTCAGTTTACCTAAATCATAAATTTGCGATCCAATACATTCTTTCAGCAGGTTATAAATGTGGTTAGATTTATAACAATAAATCTCATAAAATATAATCACACACTATTATATAAATCATTAATGACTCCAAGAACAGATTCTGGACTTTGATTATTTGGGTTCATAACTTACTCCAAGCCATGTAACTATGAGAAAAGTTACAGAACCTTTATCTATTTACGTACAGCTTCATAGGGTATTTGGAGGATGATATTTTTTAAATACATGTAATGCTCTTATTATGGGGTCTGATACTGGATAACTATTCAATAAATATTTGCTGTTATTTTTATTTTAATAATAAGAACAACCATAACTAACATAAGCACCTCGATATTTGAGTATAGATTGAAAAACTCCCAGAGTTGAAAGAGCCAAAGTATTTTAATCTTTGCATCCCCTATTAGCACATTAAATATTGTCTAAAATAAATGTTTTGTTTTTTCTGTTATTATTTGGAAACTTCTTCGCAACCTAACCTTATCTGTTGTAGGAGTATTAGAATTTTAACTTTAGACATTTTTAAAAACAAGGAGTCCACTTTTAAAAAGAAAAAAAGTTGTAATAATTATAAATGGTGACTCATTCATTCAACACTCATTTACTGTCTGACCACTGTGTGCCAGATTCAGTTCACTCTGGGGCATATTTAGCACCAAATGTCATGATGTGGACTTTCTGAGGCCAGAATACTATCCTATGGCACAGAAAGTGCTCCAGCTTGGGTTGATATCTTTCAAGATAATGGCTTGTATTAAAGCAGATTTGCAGAAAATCTTGGGGTTTTCTGTGTCCCCACAAAGGGCTCAATTTTTCCACTAAGAAAATAGATTGTTTTATCTGCACTGTGATTTTACAAGCCATGTAAAACACAAACTCTTATTAACCTCTCTGCACAAGTGCCCCTGTGTTCGACAATCCACAATTATAATAAATATGAGCACCTGAACATGAGTATAAAGCAGCATTTGCTTAGTGCAAATGTTGTCATCTCAATTTAAGAAAAAAAAAGATACTGTGAATTAATATGGCATAATATACTATCTAAAATAAATGCAAACCATACAAATGTTTTTCTCCCAGACTGTGCTTTTAAAACTTATCAAAATAATTTTAACTATTTTAAGGCATTTCATAAGAATAATTGGAAGTGAAATTAAGTTTACCAGTTGTATCCTACTACATTTCTGTCATCATGTGCATTTTCTCACAAGGTAGTATCTGTTCCTTTGTTATTTAATGTTCTTCTTTGATTTCATAATTTAGTAAGAATTTCAGTATTTTGCAATTTAGCATTGATTATGTAAAAATAAGCAACCAGTCATTTCTCTTCTTCCTGATTCTATTTTATTTTTTTTTTCTCTATTCATATGCCCCTGTCCTTCCTAAAACAACCATTAACATCAATCTCCATGGATTTACACCACCAACAACTTCTAATAAAAAATGAAATTTAATTTGGCTAGTATGCAGGAATGTTTATATATTGTTGTTTCAATTCATCTAATATAAATATTCATTTGTTCAAATTCAGATTAATTATGGACTATTAAATGAACAGATCCAAAAGCTCTAATGTAGACCTAACTTATAAATGAGATGGAACAGAAGCAATACGGTTCTCTCCACTCCTGTTCTCACTCTTCCTGAGATGACTGTTTCACCTCCACTTACTTCCTATTCACTTACATCACCAAAGTACTACCATAATTATCTAAAGTCTTCTCTTCTGTCTTCCATGTTCCTTTCATGCAATATTCTTTATTTTCCAGAATCTTAGTTTTCTAGGTAAACTTTAAGAGGAATGGCTGAAGATACTGTATTTATTTGAGGTTCAATTGAACAAATATGTATTGATCACTCATTAAGAATTGAATATTAAAAGTCTATGAAAATATCCTATTAAAAAAAATGATCCAGCAATTCCACTTCTTGGCATACAACCAAAGGAAATGAAAAAGAGCTGTATATTTTTTATATCAAAGAGCTATCTGTACTACCATGTTTATTGCAGCATTATTCACAATAGCCAAGATATGGAATCAATCTAAATTTCCATCAATGGCTGAAGAAAATGTGACACACACACACACACACACATATACACACACTCATGTATATGCACACACCTGAATACTATTCAACCTTAGAAAAGAAAGAAATCCTGTCACATGTGACAACATAGATAAACCTAGAGGACACTATGTTAAGTGAAATGGACCAGGCACAGAAAGACAAACAGTGCATGATTTCACTCACATGTGGAATTTTTAAAAGTCAAATTAAGAAACAGAGTAGAATGCTGGTCAAAGGGGTGGAGAGGTGGATTGATAACATGTTGGTCAAAGGATACAAAATTTCAGTTAGGCTAGAGGAATGAGTTCAGGAGATGTACTGCACAACACGATGACTATAGTTAATAACATGCTGTACACTTGAAAATTGCTGACTGTAGATTTTAAATGTTCTCATCATAAAAAATAAGTATGTAATGTACTAGATATGTTGATTCGCTTGATTTAACCTTCCCACAATGCATACATAAATCAAGACATTATGTTGTACACAAGCATGTACAATTTTCTCCAATAAATTAATCAATCAAAAAATATGTAGCCTATCACGATAACTAAATGTCGTAAGTGCTAAAGGACATGAGAAAGATGATAGAACATTATAATTTCAGGATACAACGGTGGTCTGGAGGGACAGGATTTGGATAAGACTGAGGCAAGGATGCTCTTTGTGAGAGTAGGCACCATGAGCAAGGGCAAAGAGGAGGTATAGAGCCTAGACAGCAATTCAAAGAGATGCTTGGTTTGAACAGAGAAATAGGAAAAGTGAGACAAAAAACAAGAAGAACCCATATAATAGAAAAAAATTAAATGGCAACTTTCTTGATGGGAAAAAGAAAGCTAATGTCCTGAATGTCTTAGGACAATCAGTCTATTATCCCAATACAAGGTGTATTCAGAGAATTAGTGAAATACTAGAAGGAGCGCA